TTCAATATTGATATTCCTTTTGTTTTACAACTGTCCAATTCACTAGGAAGGAAAAATGCCTAGCTAGAGTAATAAGGACGAGGAAATATAGGGATTAAATGGCCTGTGTTTAAAGGGATACATCGACTAGTTAAAATGTACATGACCGACCTCAGAAAGCACAATCAAGACATGTATTCACGATAGCTGAAAAAACAAGTAAATCAAGGCTTGTTGATATGTGTATTGATGACCATACGTCATGTTCCTCGTGCTTTCATTCATTGCTTAATGCCACCAGGATAGCGGAAATAAAACAAAATGAGACAAAAGACATTTTACCTTCAATCTCTAAACAACTATTGATTTTTGATTAATAGGTGGGTATGTCAGTTCATTATTCAGGGTTATGATAGTGTGTGATTAAACACAGTGGAAAGTTGTGCATGTTAATGCTTACATGCGCAATAGTGCAACAATTTGAATTCGGATCGAACTGCCTTAATATATTAACTATAACATAAAGTCTATTTCTTAACTTCATTTGTTATATTCTGATTCAGGGCGATTGGTGTAATGTCTTCAGTGTCATTGTCCATTCTTGTCAGTGCCCTTGCTCCGCAACTGCTAGTACTACGAAAGGTTTGGAATCCATTACCACAACTATTGTTTGGTGGTTTGTCAATCATATCGGCGTGTCTGGTGTTGTTTCTACCTGAAACACGAGGGCGGAGACTTCCTGCCAACATCCAGGAAGCAGAGATACTTGGAAAGTAAGGGAATTATTTGAGTTCGAATCACGCTACTTACAACATTTTATGTTGCACATCAAATTCTTGATTTATGGCACACTAAATACTAAAAATAACTGTACATGTATTATTATTATACATCTGTCACCGTAACGCCATAAGTTACAGCGTGTCGTAATTGTGCGGTATCGCACTGGGTATTTTCATCCTACAATATTAGGAAATGCGATATCAAAATATGGAACGATTACGCGTGTAAGCGTTCTCTAATAATACAAAACATGGCTATCACAGGGTTTTACCGGACCCCACACAAAGAAGTTCGCTAAATCTGTTCTAAACGTTTTAGATTTCGGCATTCCCATGATGTATTCCTGGGAGGAATAGATGTATAATAATAAGGTTATTACGAGGATGCTGAATGCATTGGTCGGTTGTTACACCCGCTGTATTGCCTTCGTAATATACAACCTCATAATATGCGTCTCTATATCAATATTTTATTCTGGCAGAAAACAAGAACCTACTGAAGAAATGGATACTGACCTAAACGTACAGGACAACTACATTGAGTTAAAGGCGAAATGATGATGCTCTGTCAACACTGTTCTCAAGTATCTGTTTCTATCAGTGATATTATATGACCTTCATCGCATTAAAGTATGATTGATTTTCAATGTGACGTTTGAATAATTAAGTGTGCTTGGTTGTGACAATAGTCCATAATATCAGTTCACCGACCAGTGATTAAGTGAAACAAATAATTCATTTCACTGAGTTGGGAAAAATTACCGGATTGAACCTTATACCAAAACCTGTTATACAGAATAAAAATAGCTCTTCTTGGACATCAAATCTGATCCGAGGCCGTGGGCAAGAACACTTTATTGCGGAGGTTAACTTTATATCCAAAAGAATTCGAGTGCTATAGGGACTGCACGCAATATGCATGTTTTTTCACACAGTGTTGTAAAATCATATATGATTAAAAACCAACATTATTGGACATATATTTTAAGGGCATATTATATATATTCAAATGCCAAACATATATCTGTATTATGAACTATGCAAAGCTGAAATTCAAAAACTAGTAGCTATTACATCTATCAGTGGCTTGCCTGTTACTTCGGCATATCTAGATTGTTCACAGAAATGTAAGACATTGTACTTTTATTTAGCAACCTGTATCATTACTGTAGGTTGATTTAGTAATAAAGCTGTACTATCTGCGATAAACTGGTGTAGGATCTCTTTGAGTCGAGTTGTCTAGTAGAAACAGTGTAAGCGATTTAAGTTT